GAAGGCTGTAGACTTAAATCAGTTAACACAGTTATAAACAGCCCCCCCACCCCCGCAATCTCTAGTGCTCTTAGTTTGCTGAATAATGCAAATAAGATAAGATAAAATACAGTAGATAAGCTCTGGCCACATGAGTAATGTTATCAGATTTTCACAGTGATAAATGGTACAAATTATAATATTGATAAATGATGCAAGAGCTCTGAAAATATCCAAAATATTGTTTACTTGTTTCTACTTTTTAACTTTTATTTGATAGAATAAATAAAAATATGATGGAACATCATATTTCAGACAATGAAACATAAAACGTTTTAAGCTTAAGATTTGTATTAAAACATCTTTATTCTGCAGGAAACAATATGGTGCTGCTGAAAAAACTGTGATAGCTTGATAGTTGAGATGCTCACACAGGGAAGAAAGCAATTTTTGTTTAATGCGGGCTGGTGATGTTTCTTGCAACCATTAAGTTGTTCCTGAACAGCTCATGTGCAGGCTGCACATTTTGAACTTGTTATGATCGGGAGGAACAAGAACAATTATTTTCAGTTTCCAATCAAGGTATAAAACAAAAGAAGTGGGATTAGCTCAGCCTTACTGAGCTGATTGGTAACCCCACCAATGACCTGTCTAGGATCCTGAAGACTATTCATATAAGTAATAGTTTGATCTTCACAAAATATTCTTGACATGGAACTTTTTTATTTTATATGACAATTAACTGTAGCAGAAATAATCGCATTTCAATGAATTTGGAATTAGTGTCAATCTGGGCAGTTTTGGACTCCGTTTTGATAGTACTGTATATATGAGCAAACCATATAATGCTAAAACATTGTTACCACCATTTTGTTGTCCTTGCAATTGATACTAGAGAGTGATGTTGACTGTGTATTGCTTTTTTTAATATGGTTTATCTTGGTTGATGAATACATATGTTTTTGGCACTGAATTCATGAGAATGTACATTCTTGTGATTGTTGATTTTTATGGAGAAAATGCTAAAATGTTTTTTTTACAAAAATCATACCACGGGAAGACAATGAAAAGTAAATGCAGAATTTTGAGTTTTTCAATTGACAAAGATTTTGCAGTTTAATCATAACAGAGACTGTTTTCTTTGTTTATCTTTGCAGCAAAGAGAATGATTTAACAAGTAATTAGGAGAGTAAAGAACTGTCACTTATACTAGATACTGCACTGTAAGAGGCTGCTGTTTTAGTTTGGTCCCACACCGTTAATGAAAGCAGCTTTGTCTACTCTGTGAGGCTCTCTTTAAGCTATGTGTTCTCTTTTATGTTTATCCTGTGAAGAGGCGAGCAGTATTTATTTTGTTCCACCATGATGGGACTCATATTAAGTCTTGTGTTCCACATATCTGTATGTGGGGGTGGAGTAAACATTTATTCAAGCGATCCGCTTTCAAAAGCATTATGATACCAACTGTTTATATGAGCTAGCAGTCTTCAGCAGGGGTTTTAAGACTGTTGTTTTTGTCCATTATTTACTGTGGCTTTACCACAGTATGTGTAAAATCATCTGTTTTGGCTTACTGACCACTTTTGTTTTGATAAGATCTTTCTTATGTAAAAAAGAAGTTGGTGGCTGATGCAAAAGTACAGAATCAGAATCCCCATTATTGTGTGTTCACTTTGCTAAGTACATGACACATTGTTTACTGTTAGAATATTATTACAGTCTACCAGAGGCATATCAACAGGAGTCTTATGTTACCAACTCAAATAGTAATATAGCTTGTATGACTCAGAATCACCTACTGTAGGTTTAACTGGTTTTTATTTCTGGTACATGAATTGTTAATAAAGTACTTTTATTTAACCACTTAGGGGTAGTACAATAAAACATGATGTGTGACAGCTTTGAATGAAGAAATCAATCACTTTTAATATTAGTAAAATATCAGAATATTGGATTTATTTCAAAACATTTAATACTATTTTAAGAAAGTAACTATAAAATATGAATTTATTCATCATGCTTAGATATTGATTTTCTTAAACCTTAATAGTGTTAACAACCTCAGCAGCTCCCTGAAACAGCTGGCACTAAGTTGAAAGACTGGGATCAAAATCAGAGTAGAATTGCTTTTTAATTCTACAGGTACCTTTGACATATTTGTATATGATGCTGAAAATAATTTCATATTTATATAATAATTGCTTATTTACTTTTTACATAACTTAAGACAATCACTAATTTCAGTGACGCAGGTAAAGCAATTATACTAAACACAACTGTTTATTATAATGATCTTTGAATGATATGAAGAGGAGAAACACTAAAACATGTTTTGCTCTCCATGTTTAGAAAAAAATAATACATGGTAGCTGTATAATATCCTGATTTTTTTCCAATGGACAGTATCATTCATTGCCAAACCAGCAAGCTAAGCAGCACTTAAGTCAGCATTCTCCTGAATTAAAAAAATAAAAAATGAAAATGCTGAAACAGCAGAGAGTAGTGCGAGAATGCAAAACAGATGTATCTGATTGTACTTAGCAGAATCTAATGTTGAAGCCTACTGACAGCATTGTGACAGAAGTTTCAGATCAGAGCTTACTGGAATATACCAATTGTCAAGAGCACCTCAGTCCTCAGTCTTAGTTGTTTGCCAGTGGAATCTTCTTACTGTATTAGATGTAAAACAATTATAAAACAAGAAAAACAGGAAAGATATGGAACACCAGACAGTGATCTTTCTCCACTCACTGAAAAGCCACAATGATGTTTAGAGGAAAAAAAAAAACAAGACTGGCAGTGGTATATAAGTAAGAATGTTTGTTTTTAATTTCCCATGGTTTAATTCTCTGATGCTTTTATGTATGTTGAAAGGCATCACTTGGCTTCAGTACACTCGGTATTAAACACAAATAACTAAACGAACCCACAGCTTTTTTACAGATGTGAGTTTGAGCACCCCTTAAGACCGGGTGATAATTTGTAGATCTGCTGTTATTTCAGATGTAAGTACTTACATACAAATGGGTGTCCTCCTGGCCATTTGTCTTTGATTAGAATGCCTTTCAGTTTTGTGTGGTTCCCGGTAGCAGCTTCCTTTGAAATACACAAGTCCATTTCCCTTTACTGACCATTATATATTTGCTAAAGTCAAGTACAATTGGTCACAAAAGCTCAAACACTCTATTGGAGTTAAAGTCAGACCAGGATAAAGCCACATCATTCATAATGCTACTATTTGACAAAGTGCTTTTACAATATTTCCTTTCTAAAATTTAGTGTTGTCTTTCATACCTGCTAGCTATATAGCTTTTATGGTTACATCCTCCATTTTCTATAGGAACCACAAAACAGATTTGAAAAGTTTAAGCTGGTCTGTGATCTCTTTTTTGTTGTTGCTGTTACACTTTGTTACTAATGCATATTGTGCAGTTTTTCAAGGCATAATATCCAACTGTAAAAAATATCTAAACCACAATCGCTGCATGCTGATTAACAACACCATTTGTTGCTGTTTTTTTTAACTTAACAATACAATGTGGCAACCATTAGCTTAGACCCTGGGGCAAATCAGTTCCAATACTTGCACCAAATTTATCTCTTCACACGGCACAAAATACTTGACACAAAGTCAAGAGTTCAAAGACATAATTTTTCATTTCAATGGACTTCTTGACTTTTATAAGGAAGTTAATGAGAAAAAATGAGTGCTCTTTATCCCTGATTACCAGAAGGATGATATCTCTCCCATTCACAACATTGTGAAAGAAGCAATATCTGCATCATGAGTACTTATGCATTATGATAACACATTAGTTGACTCAAGTACTCAACTCTTTCCTGACAGGAAGGTGGGCTAAGAGGGACAGTGCTCCACAGCTCCATCTCAGCTTGAGATGGTACACCATTGCAAAGACAATGAGAGAGTGAAGAATAAAGGTAGGAGAATGAAATAGGAGGTAAAGTTTGTTTAGGGAGCTTGAGCAAACTTGAAAGGCACAATTGATCCTCCCCCTCCTGAAATATGTGATGAAGCAGCAGAAACTTTTGCCTGCTGCAGTGTGAAACTATACCCCTTTATGAACTGGAACAATAATTAATAGCTGCATAATTTGTATAGATATTTGTGAAGAGTGTTTAAAAGGAAGTAAACCTTTTATTTGGCCTATTTTAGGTCCTGTTTTGTCACAATCGTTACTCCTCCTCTTAAGGGCGCTCCAGCCCTTCCTCGTTCTGTCCCATTCCCCAAACCTGTTCCTTATTCCAGCCCCTCTTTAGTTCCACCTTTAAAGCCAGACGAAGGCGTTTGCCCGGGGTTTTCTCATTGAATCCCGTTTCGTGAGAGCCCGGGGTCCTACTGCGTCTGGCTCCGTTATGGTTTTAGTTTCCTGTTCCTGATTCCCTGTCCCGCCGGTCCCGACCCGGTTCTGGTTTTTAATTACTTTGGATGGATCCCCTGGTCTTGGACTCTGCCTCCCATTTTGGATTTCCCTTTTGGATTTATGCTTGGATTGTTTGCCCCGGACTCACTTCCCCTGGACACCTGCTCACCTCGGACATGCCCCCCTGTCTCCTGACCCACTCCTGCATCATATTTTTCCCTATTGTTTCTTCACCTACCGGATCGTGTCGTCCGCATAGGGCCCGGAAAGAACTATTCCTGACAGTTTAAGGCATTCAAAGAATTAAAAAAGCAGAAAATAGCACAGAAAATGGGTGAAATGTAAAAAAACAGAAAGGAAGATATATTGGATATAAGCAAGTGTTTTATAACCTCTTATTTCTTGTAGAACCTGAGTATTGAGTATTAATATAAAAGTAGGTTTAAAGTAGTGGACATATTGTAAATACAGTTTATATTAAGTTATCAGTAAGATCATATAAAATTGTTAACAAAATATTGTTGTTACAGTACCTATTTGCTACCCAAGGACTATGTGATTTGTTGATCCTACACAATTCAGAATCGATGCAAATTCTCAAAAGAATACAACACAAAAAGAAAACAAGAAAATACATTATTCTACAAATACATATATTTTAACTCACCAGTTAACACAGCTCATTTCAAAGTTCTCACTTATTTATTTTCTTGTAAACATGCAGTACGAGTCCAAAATAGTTAAAACTAAGTATGACAAATCATGCTTATACTTCTTATTGCAATAGGTCACACAGCCAGTTAAGCTAGCTATACATCTAAAGACCTGTACAAAACTTTCTCAAATTCCAGTGCATGTTAAGTCTTAGTTATCTTAACCATAGCACAATAAGAAACCCCACAGAACAATTTGTCAGCATTTGACTTTCCATAGCCAGACAGCATCTTGGACTTATAGGCCACATTTACACAGATTTTCATTGTCACTCCTCACAGGCTACATTTCCAGCTTTCCCAAGCTCAGACTGCTGATGAGGGAAAAGATAAGCATGTCATGTACAGAATCACTGGGCTTTTAGAAATTTTCTGCTCATTCAGCCAGATGTAAATAATTGTTGAAAGCAATATAGGTCTGTATTGTGGACCTTCTCAATGTTGTATTTGGCCAAGAGCACTGTAGCTCAGTTTCATTTAGGTTCTCAATGGTCTTTAAAATATTTTGTACAATTCAGTATGGAGTGGATTTAAACCCAGGTCAGAGAGAGGTAGCGTCCTTTGGGTGTAAACATACTTCACCACCCACATTATTGAATGCTAACATTTTCTAAAATGTTTTTTTTTCTAATAAATCAGCATATGATAGACCAAATAAAGATTTTCTATCCATAACAAAGTCTATTGACTCCTTTTCCCTCTGAATCACTGCTGCCTGGAGCTTGATTATTAACCACAACTATCTGTATAAAACTGACATTTTTAAATAAATATTTTTATTCTGTTATTGGTTTTTACATGTATAAAGCATACAGTATGTTACAGTTTTATCAAAAAGTGGAAAATACTGATGTTACATAAGTAACAAATAGTAAAAATAAGTACTTCATCTTACTTTCCCTGAAAGTAAGAAAATTATTTTCAGCATATGAAAATACCCATAAAAACACAGCTTAAGTACGTAATTTAAGTTATTAAATGGTACAAAAGTAGAAACTTTAAGATTTTCAAAAAACAAATGACAACAATAACAAAATCCTTCAAGAATTTCATTTAAGTAAATTTACAAGTTCATAGTCTGTGTGGTAGAGGTTAACATCAATATCCACCAGGCACACTCTATACTTCCCTTTTGCTGGCCCCAGAGAATTCAAAAGACTGTGGCAACAACATTCTCAAACACTTCATTCCAAAAGCAAAGGAACGTTTCTGATTTTCTAGCAAATCCTCAAATGTCTGTAAGGCAGTGGTTTATTAGTTTCTGCTCTTAAAATGCTTAGCTGGTCTTTTGAGTCAAAACATACTATATAACAGGCAGTTCTGAGCCTTCACATAAAATTGGCAAGAGTGATTTAAAATGCTGGCCAAAGTGTGTGTTCATGAATATTACACAGTACATCATACGTGAGATACCAAATGCTTCTTTTACAGTTTGTAAGAAAACCATTTAACTGAAAAATACATTTTACACAATGGTAAAATTTGTCTTCAAATGTTTTGTTATTTTCAAAAATCCTGGCTCTGTGCAATAATAGTGACGTTATTAGCTTATTTTTTACTTTAACTTGAAGTCCTAATTGAGATGTGGCAGTTGTTGTAAGCCTTTAGAATTAATTTGTTTTTCATGAATAGCACACGTGGATACTTCAAAGACCAATACCATAATTTATGGTGGAAAGAGAACACGTCTGTGTGATATTTTTAAGAGTTCCATTTGTGACAAGTTCAGATGTCATTTCTGCCTTTCATTTACAAAAATTAAGACCATCCTGCTTGAATGGAAAACTAAATGTTTTTTTCAAGGTTCATAGCTTGTTATTTTCATCCCTTTTTCCTTCATGAAGAAACCTTCATTTAATATAAATAAGGTCTTAGACATATTGTTCTGCCTCCCCTTCATTTGAAATGGTTACAGCACCATCACCACTGTTCAGTTCAATATCTTTTGCAGCTGCATTTTCCGGAAGTAGAGCAAGATCTTTAAAGACATCAACATAGTGGCCAAAACCAGGGCCCCAGTTTAACAGGTTGTCCCAATTGAAACTCCCAGTTTGCTGGCCTAGTTTATGTGTTAATGAATAATGTTCAGTTGAAGGCACCTGGGAGCTGCTTGGCCCTCCTTCTGCTCTACGGCTGGAGTACCTCCTCTGCTTTAACCTACCACCGTAATCTTCATCATCTGCATCTGACTCATTGACTTGAGATAATTTAGGCATCCTGGAACTGTAAGCTATCGGCTTCTCTCTGTCATACTCCATTTCAGAGCAAGTGAAGGAGTCGTGCGAGTCACTCTCTGAGGATGACTCTGGTGCAGGGATCCCATCGGCAGGATTTCTGACTCTGGAAAGAGGTCTTCTGCAGTCCTCTTCTGAAGAAGATCTCCCATGGTCGGCGCTGCAGATACTGGGGTTTCTCGGTCGGGGTGTGTTCAGCCTCTCGACCTCCTCTATAGAGAGCCCAACTGGAGGCCCTGTCTCAAGAGGAATTTGTTCTATCGGCTGTTTCAGACGACTCCCAGGCCTAGAACCATGACTAGCCATTGTCTGAGGACTCTTACTTCTTCTTCCCAGCCTAGTGGCATAGTTGAAAATACCAGGCTGACACACCTCATTGTGCAAGTCCAGAGGACTTCCCTCTCTCCTGGAGAGATTAAGTTCCCTAGCTGGACTGTTACGGTAGAAGGAGGAAGGTTTGGAAAAAGGAGCTGGGCTCTGCCGAGAAAGAGGATTAGGAGTAGGGCAAGTGGAATGGCTTAATGGAGTTGACCTAAGACCTTGGCTGTAAGAAGGCTGGTAAGTATAGCTACTTGCTCCAAGTGGTAAAGGAGACTGTCGTGCAAACCCTAGAGGGCTATGTCTTTGAATTGAAAATTTAGGTGTGTGACTCCTGAACTGTTTGTAGTGCTGAATGATATCTGCATCAGAAGGGGCAATACTGCTGGCATTATCAATATCATAGTGCTCTATATCAGCTTCAGTACCCACACAAGGTGCGCAAGGAGCACTGGGTACAGTTTCTGTATTATGAGGAATGTCTGTTTCATCATATATAAGGTAGGGATTTTCCCTTTCAATTATATCAGGTTTGGGATTCCCTTCGGGCTGTTTCCTCACAGTCATGTCATCTCCGTACGGAGGGATGTTATCAGGGTCATCAAAAGCCACATTCTCACTCCCTTTCTTCTTTTTCTCTTTTGGTTTCTTCTCCTCTTTTGGCAGTTTGGTCTTGCGCCCCCTGCAGTGGTTACACAAGATCAAGCTCAAAACCACCAAGGCTAAGGCAGTGGCACAGCTCCCTACAATAGCAGGCACAGCCCATATGGGAAGAGACAGTTCATCAGCCTGTGGATTAGAACTACAGACAAAGCCTCCATTATTACCGATGTTGCACAGAGTTCCTTGGGGGCACTGCACACCCAGACAAGCCAACACAGTCTCACATGTCTTTCCAGTGTAAAACTCAGGACAAGTGCAGGTAAATCCAGAGTGAGAGCTCGGTTCACAGCTCCCTCCATTTTGACATGGGCTGGAGGAGCAGTCACCTGGAGGAACGCACTCATAAGCATACCACTGATTTACACACATAAGGTCATCCCAACAAGGACTGCTGGCACACACGTTTGGTCCTCTACAGCCAATCTTAACAGATGGATGTGATTTCGATATTGTGACGGAGTTGTGTTCCCCACTGAAAGGCAGGATTTCTCCTTGGTATTTAACATAAGCAAAGCAGCCATCAAAACCTTAAAAAATAAGGAAAAGCAATTCAGATAGTGGCAAGTACTCCTGAGGTCATATTAAATGTTACATATAATATTTTTAAAACATATATCTGAGAAAAAATGACAGACATTACATTTCAAAATGTGAAATGAGAAATTCATTTGTGTTGTATGAAAACTGTATAAACAGTTTAATTGATTCACTATATTCTAAAACATTTTTAAAGAATAATGCTTTTTAGACTGATAAATTAAATCAATTAATCTTTTCACAGAATTTGACTTTAACATATTGAGAGTGATAGTGTCTGAATTTAACTTCTGTACCTCAATGGCAGCACTGGCATACACAGAAATACATCACCATACTACTTATTTTATGAGCGTGTTATTGAAAACTTTTACAGAGTAAGTCTGGGTTGTATGCCAGAAATATTTATCAATTACAACATCTTTCAGAATCACATTTCTATTTCATATTACTTATATTAGGACACAGTTGCAATATTCTGATTGGTTGATGAAACAGAATGACAGCATAGTCAGCTCACTGAAAATAATGTTAACCCTGAAAAACATAAAAAGAACAACAAAATACAGCATTTGCTATAAATAAGGTGACTTGGCACTAGTTCATTGTATTTTGGAAGCTGTACTGTATAAATGATAAGACTGATGTCATATAAACCTGCTAAAATGCTGTGTATTTTAAAGCCATTAAGATGCAATTTTAGAAACTGAAGATTTTGGCACAGAAAGAAGTTACTAAATCACCAGCTACTTTATTCCAAGTTCCCAATATTGCACATTATATATCAATCATATTGTGTAGCTACAATTATTTCTGTGTTTGAATAAAATAGGTCATTGGAAGGTTGCACATTTAAAATAAAATAGGAGTCTACATGAGGCAGGATTTTTCTCCTGTGTTCCTTATCCACTAAAATGTGCTTTTGTTCTGTTAATAAGAATACAATAAGAAAGAACGTTAAGACAAAATGAAGCAATAGCACCATATATACAGAAATTGACTGTGGGAATATAGAGACAAATAAATAATCAAATGAGCATGATAAGCCAACAACACTCCTCTCATGTGTTGCCTAATGCACTGGTCTGATTAACAGATGTTATCTTTAATTTAACATATAATCCAAGGTTATTAAAATTCTGTAAAACTGTGAATGTAAAAACTGTGAAAGTCCAACATTCATCTTAAATGAGATTGCCTTGACCATACCAGGGTGAAGAATGTACTTCACCCTGAGTTCGGGGCGATCTAAATTGTACGTAATTTACACATGATGGGATTTCAGGCTTCACAGAGAGGTGAACAACTCCCTTGTGAACATTCCATTGTTTGCTAGTGCCTTATTGCTCCATTGTGACTGTTACTGTTGTATTTAGTTTTCCTGTAAGAGACTGTGAGTGAGATGGTGGTGAAGAGGAGTTTGCCATGGACCTCTTTGGGGAGCTCCAGAGTTGAGAGGATGAGCAAACACTGTTGTGGGTGTCATCCTGACGTTGTGTATGGTGCTACAAGACTACACTATAAGGTATAGCTAGTTTTGGTCACTAAAGGAGTGAATTATTTCTAAAATAAGTGCTATGTCTTTAAAACTTTATTTTGGGCCTTGAGACTTATCTATTTAGATAATTAAAACAATGTTACTGATAATATAACATGTTAAAAGTCATATCATGTTAAAAATATGCCTAACTGGAGTTCGTCCTATATTATAAGCTTTTATTTTCTTCAAGGTCTTATAAACACTTTTCCAAGTAACCTTCAATGCCATTACTATGAACTGAAGCCCTCTGACTTCTTGGGGAATTGAAGGAAATGATAACCACCTGCAATAGTCAAAGTGCTGCCATTCAGTCTGTGAGATAATCTGGTTGGTTCTGGAAGTTATTTTGCACTTCTACAGCAGAAACATTTTTCATATTTTAAAACAGTCTAAAATATCCAAGAATATGGACCAACCTAACTTCTTCACAGCATTGTATACAGAAATTATATTGTTACTTTGACAGGATTACATTTGAATTTGTCATCACACGAGTGTTTTGAAAATTAGTGGCAGCGTGTATTTGTACATCTACCGAACAAAGTTACAGAAGTTGTCATTGACCTAACAACCTACCTGAGGATGTTTTCTGCTGCAATGGCCCAGGAGGAGTTCCCCCGAGTGAAAGTGTTAATACATTAACCCCTCCAAAATTCTGTGTATTATGAAGAATCTCCCTTAAATTGGAACCATCAATGCGAATGGATGTGATAGAACCATTCTTCCGAAGCTGTAGAGTGTGCCACTGACCATCTGACACAGACAGTTCAGGCATAGTTCTTTCTACCTTTCCACCAATGCCAGCATCAGAAATGTAATGCACATTGCCATTCTTTATCTGGAACATAAAAAATATATACGTTAAATCACAAAATACCCAAGAAACCTACTATATAATTAAGCCACAGGCATTGTTGATTTTATACATGTCTTCCAACCTAGAAATGGGTTTAGAATATTTGTATAGTGTACAGCTTCAGTGCATTTTAAACATAGTTAAGATGTTTCACATTCATCAGTTCCATAAGAAACATATCAAATTAATCAATGGGTACAACATTTCCAAAATAACTGAATTAAATTGCAGAGCAATTTATTATTTTAGATAGTTCTGTTCTAGAATGACAAAGTAGTAAAGTTTTCTTTTAGTAAAATTATTTTGGTTCATTGAAAATTTATTTTCCGAATCCACAGAAGGGATTACAAGAAGAAATTCACATAAACAAATGCAAATTTTAATAAACACAAGGAATGCAGGTATGTATATACTTGATGGTGAGTACTATTAATGGGAAATTGACTAAAAGGCATTATTTATGTATTATACCATATATATATACCTTTATTTAGTATTTATTAAATAAGTAACTGTGTTAACCATGAATCATTTTCTTACTATAGACCCATGCCTTTAATTGCAACATTTATGGCATGCTGGAATATGCCATACAAACTAGGCATTAATCACATCATCTGTTTAAGGTGACACAGCAGAAGATGTATTTGCAAAGTAGATTCGGGATCTCTGATGTACAAGATTCACATTGATTACATATGTCCTTCCAGTGCTTTTAAGGGCTACACTTGACTCAGCGCTCCACAGGGCTAAACACAATACTGTCTGCAGAGCCCTTCCTCTCTTCTACAAACTTCCTCCCCTGCTGTTTAACAAAGTCTATTCAATATTGTATGCATGAGCATCAGGCTGATGAAAATAATACACATTTACTTTTATTTAAATATCTTTGAGATTTCTTCTCAAAGTATGAAAATGCTTATACTGTACAAGTTTCCTATGATAATAGCTTTTCTTCAAATTCCTCTTCTTCAGTTGAGGTAAAGCTGTGGTTGTTACACTGTGTAATATTAAATGGTCAATGTGCAGTTTTGGCTGAAAGTTCCAAAATTCATTACAGCATAGAGAAATGTAATTTGCTTGGAAAATATTTTTATTGCTTCTTTCTTTTCAGACCACATCAACCAGAACTGCATTATGATATAACTGAAATATGTTTAAAACATTACATGCTAACTACATTATGAAGAAACATTTAAATGCTTTATGCCAGTAAAGGATATTTCTAACAAATAAACAACACTATGATACTGTATGTACTTGGCATCAGAAATATAGATATAAACTAAAAACATATTTTAGATATGATGCCCGGAGAAGACAAACTCAATGTTGCTTTTTATGAAAAAAATACCACACTGTTAGAAAATAACTACAGTACAATAAAACCTTGATTTAAGAGTCCCATAAAAAATAGGAAATGTTACATTCAAGAAAATCCTTTTGACCCAATAAGAGGGGATAATGAGTGATCTGTGAAATAAATCTGTACTTTATTTTGCACTTTGTTGCAACATTTATTAAGTAAGACATTGAATATTAGTTCTTTGGGGCTTACAGTAGTAGTATTCTGGAGTATAGTCAAAAACACTGCAAAACAAAACCAAAGAGACCTTTCTGTCCCTTGGAATTGACTGGGGAATAGTTAAAGAGATGAATGAGTTTTCAGCGTCTGGAAAAATGCCCAGCATTAGTCAAACATCTAATACAGTGAAATGAAAGAGCACAGGGTAATGGAAGAGGTGATAAGGACACACAACCCTGCAGCAGTCCAATCAAATCATCTGAGCATTTGCTTTAATCTTACCTTCACAGTAGTGTAATTGCTGCTTTCCTGGACATGAAACAAAATTCCATTTTTGCTCCTTGTTCTGAACTTCACGTCTAGGCTGTTCAGACTCACTGGATCATGGACAGAGCCTTTTAAACTCTCCTCCAACAAAAAGTCACGTTTCTTATTCTGGTTTATGGAGTAGTCCAGGCGGCCACTGCCATCCAGAGACAGTGCTGTATCCACAGTAATGACTGCAGGACCACACACAAAATAAACAAATCAGAAAACCGTTTTTCCAGAGTAACCTTTAAAGTTGTATTTCACTGGCAGTTATTCATGTGCAGGACAACACTTTAGATTAAGGGTTGCAAATGTCATTTATAAACTGTTTATCCATGAAATATTTTGTAAGTATTTTTTACAGTAGCAAAGAGTAAATGAAATTATATCTAATTTCTTGTGCAAATTAACTAGATGTTACAAACAGAATCCTGATGCTGAACATAGCTTGAAATACACTCCTCAGCCCAGCCTTAACCCGAGGTATAGGGGTATATAACTTTTAGAGATGTTTATAACATTATTAATGTTATAAATGTTTATAACCTTACTCATAACACTTGAACAGATTGTAGCCGAGTAAATACAGCTGATTTAAAGTTTGACTGTGTGTTTACTTCTTAACTTTACTTCTTAGAATTATATTAAGTATTTGAAAAGTGAATGTTTAATAGATTGCAACCCAAAGCACTAAACTGCTAACCTAGCTTCGGAATAATTACTGTAATTGGAGGCATACTGCCAGGTTTCATTCAATGCCAGAATCTAATATGGCAAAAAAGACAGGTTGTTTTACTTGTTAATTATGAAGTAATAAACCATTCTAATATATCCCAGTTTCAGTCTAGCTGTGCAATATGTCAGACTTTTTTTTAATTAACTAAGTAACCATAGCTATGTAAATACACAAGCTAAATGGCTGTACTGTTATTATAAATGCCACATGGTGTTTAAATGAGACTAAATTATCCATTACTATATTCTAAAGGATTAAACTTTAGTTTACTCTTCAACATTTTAATAATTTGTATTTATGAATGCCAAAAATGTTTGCTAGATATTTGAAAGAATTCTCACATTTTTCACAGTACTTTCCAGTAAACCCTTCCATGCATTTACACTGTTGCCACGACCAGTTGTCCACACAGGTTCCTCCGTGCTTACAAACATTTCCTGTGCAAGCTCCTTCTAATCTTGGACATCTAAGGAACAAAAGGAATGTCAGATAAGAAATCTAGTCAAGAGAAAGAAGCATGTTAAATATGAAAGATTGTGAATACCGCATCGGACATTTGACTTCAGCAATTCATAACAAGAAAAGGATAACCAGTATTATGACTGGAAGCGATGCCAGACCTGTCAAGGATTCCTTGAGATGCCAAAGCCTGACTTGGCTCTAAAGGTCGTCCATTGACTGCAAACTCCATTATGCAGCCGACAAAGTCGTGGGTGGCAACTTGTCCTTTGCGATGAAGAATTGGCTCTATTGACTTGACACCTCCGACTGTGAGTCGGTTAGGCTGCACATCCAGTGTCCTAGCAGGAATAAAATGCACCACAGTTTAGAGTTATTCAAACTCTGGAACACTCATATAACAGTTTCTATCGAATTTCACGATCATTATTTAACGTGAAATAGCATCAGGACATTCTTCTTAAAATTTTGAATTCTCTCAACACTTCAATGACATTGCTCACCAGTCAGCATGGACAGCAACATTGCTCACAGTGCAGTATCCAGGATCCTGATCCTCAGAACATACGTCGACAGTCAGAGAAGCAGCCTAAAAATAATAATTTATGATAAATGAATTTCTGATAAAAATAACATTATGGTGATATTTATCATCTCTTATTATTATTTGTATTATATTATTTGTCTTAAACATTATATTTCTAAATCATTTTTTTGTTGACTTGCACAGCAGATAAGGTTTAACTCCTTACAAGACTAGTTGTTTTTTGTCATAATTTCAGCTGTATAATATTCCACAATATATGTATAATTTTATAGGTTTTATATATTTTTTGTTATAAAGTATATTTTTACAAAGCCACCTATCTATTATTGAACTATATGTAACTCTAAGCAAATACACTGCAAGAAACACTACTCCAAACATTCATTTTCTAATGCTAAATCTAATTCAGAATAATAAGGAAGTTGCAGCCTATCCCAGCAAGCAATGGGTACAAGGCAGTATAAAAATACTACTCTTAATAACAAAATAAAAAGACATTTAACATATCTGAATGTTGAGCTTTTTAAGATGAGCATCAGTAATTTGATGCTGCCAGAATGAAAACCACACACTACTGCAAATGAACTAAGTAATCATTGGAAGGCATTTGATTGGCTTCTTTTGCTTTGGATGGTTTGCACATGAAACCTCAGATGAACATGGATTAGGAAACTGAATAGAAGCAGCTGGTCCTCACGCAGTGTCTCTTACTGTCAATGCTATTAAGTAGGCATAGATCAAAAACGCAGCATGAGCAAGCCAAACTTTCTTTAAACCCTCCTGTTTTAAATTTATCCAACAAGCAAAGTGATGTTTTCAGAGGGAAAAGATCCACAAACCTGTTACAAAACTCATGCCTTTTGTACTACTTCACCTATTCAGTGTGGTCAAATTACATGTAACTTTAATATTCACTATGTACAGTTTACATAATATGTTTGTCACATTATTTGGGCATCAGTTAATCGACACTACTTGAGTATAATAGGGTAATCGGTAACATAAACATAGTAGGATTATAGGTTGGGTGTACAGTACAAATATTGACATTTGGAAGAGTCTTTAATACATTTTTTAGAATTTTGAATTAGAAAATGTCAACATACTCTAACTAACATACTGTAAATAACAATGAGGTATGACTACCATCACATACCAAAAGTAATTATCAATACAAGCAGTACATTTAAATGACATCATGAAATGATTATACAGTTAACATATACTGTAATCTAAACTACTAGAGAAATCAACAGATCAGCTCTCATCCTTGCATTACACCTACCTGGGGGTTTCTCATGAAACTCTCACAGGCTTAAAGCACAAATAAAGTAACATGATGGGCCTAATTGTTATATTTGTTTTACCGTCCTTATTAATTCACCTTATTCGTTCATCATTCACTCTATTCATACAGTATGGACCAGACTGTTATCACAAGAAAAAGCAATATTAGTTACTGTAGATAAATGTATCTGACTGTCAAACTTTAAGTCAAAACAAATAATTATTTGCACTGTAATGCAAACTATAAAGCAACTCTTTGCCATTAGGATTCAGCACTAGAACTAACAGCAGTGAAGGCACTAATATTAATATTTCCTTATTAAGATAATATTAATGATCCTGTGCTACTGTGTCAATATTTTTTTTTGTAGGCACAATCCTCAGTGGAAACAATTCAGCAGATAATAAACAATGTATATTCACAGCAAGAACAGAAAAATTTGGAATAAAAAACCATCCCTTTCTTTCTGTTCGAAATAGATGCAAAATGTGCTCTTATGTTTCTAGCTCTGTTTAATATTGCTGCAGGATTCTGCATTGTTAATTATGTTAGAGGCTCACAGCTGAGCCACTACAAGTTTGTTAGTGGTTGACAATTGGTCAATCTGTAGTGACTTCTTAAGTATGCAGACATCATTATTATCAGATCTGTAATATACATTTGCTCACTTTCATTACAACCGTTGTCCATTGGATACTGTATATAAAATTTTACTGTAAACTGTATTTTAAATTTAAAAATTAATGATTGAAAAACAATCATTAATACATGAAAATTATACAGTTTTATTGACAAAATTAAGTGACCTACATTGTATTAAGTAGAAATCTGCCTCAGGGGCATTCTAGCCTTATTTTAGAAGATGAAAAGTCCCATTAAAGGCAAATTTGTAATTACTAATGCAAATACATTTTAATATGGAAAATGTTTCCTAGACATTTTGTTCAGTTCAAACCCACTAAAGGTTTGAGGTAATTTGTGGGAAGAAACAGCTGAAAATACAAAGCATATGGGCACTGTATTAATGTATTTTCCAACAATTGGTCTAGTATGAAAACCATGCTGTCAAGTTTCTCACACTACTACAAAGTCTGTCTTGAAAAGACTTAATAATTAAAATCAAATGCTACATTCTGACAGTATACTAACACCACATTTGAGTTTAGTTAACATAGAGAGCTCTTATAAACACTTCAGATTAGTACTCGGGCAGCTTCTATGTAAAAAATGGCATTTGCTCTGGCTCAAGCAAGATTCACTCAAAAATTGTTTTAGAAATGTGTTCACATTCCTGCAAACCCCTCTATTTCATGAAAACAAAAATGACACATACAGTAGGTTGTGTCTGGTATTTACAATGTTAAGTACAGTATTTCCTATTAATAGCATGATGAAAGTTATTTAACATTTAACCAAATTTAAATATACTGTGTCAGGCTGCACTGCATGACTCACTTATTGAGCAACAGAAGTAAATATAAACCTTCTAAAAAAATCAAATCCATTCAAATAACAAAACAACACTGAAGGTCAAAGGGGAAAATAAATCCATCACTTAAAGCAACCTCAAAACAAAGCCCAATTATGGAATTACCAAATCACCTTAAAAATTCAAAACTGAAGTCAAAATAATTTCTGAATTATTTCTGAAAACAATTTGTTAAATTAATAAATTATATCTAATTATATAAAAATGTCTACAAATAAACAATACTTTGTGAAAATAAACAGTAACCGATGTACAATGCCCATGGGGAAAAAATGGCTTGCATGCTTACTTTACAGTTGGTTTAAAATCAGGTAGAAAAACTTTTGGAATGCCTTCACAATACCACCTAAATGAACCGCATCACCTTTTCCAAACATGGTAGGTTTGCTTTATACTACCTGAGGGAGCTGGCACTTAAAACACATGCATTCCTATGTTTTATTCAGTTTACAGCTTTAATATGGCGATTTCTAAGTGTACACACAACATTGGTACAGTAGGGTGGAATTACAGTTCTGCCTACATGTTGTGTACCTTTCCATCGTGTCATTCTACACTATCTCAAAGCTGACAATTTAACGATTTTACCAGTTTCCTAAGAAATCCCAAAGCACCATAGGATATGACAGATTTGAAGTCCTGCAGGGGGCTTCCATTATAAAATTTTGACATGCTAGCAATTTTTCCTATCTCAGAAAAAGGCTGAAGGAGTTGACTCTCAGCAATGAATTGATCCACCAAAAAGGCTAGCACTGTTTCCAAAACTCTAACATAAAACTAAACGTGCATGTTTTTGAAGTTAATTACAAACTAAGAAAGTTGTGAGAACAGCTGCCATCATGGAGATTTTGATTATAATTTGAAGCCTTTGAATTTCTACTGATGCAAAGTAGCCAATTCCATTTTAATCCATGGGTTCAACAATAACATTTTAAGAAAGGATTATTATATGGAAACATGGTTAGATACATATGTAATATACATGTATTTTACAGAGACAGAAATACTAAGAAATATTATTACAGAAAAAGTGCATTTGTTTCCTAATTTTGTGTTAACATAGAGCTTAAATGTCATGCTGTTTTGTAGCAAAAAAACAGATATAATATCTAGACTATTTGCATTTTATTAACAAATATTTTCCTTCTAAGGCACTATAAAAAACAAAGTTTGGTTGATGTTGTTTACTAGTTTTGTACCTTGCTAGCATTTATGAAAAAAACTTACCATTCCTGCCCTCCTTGCAATGATAGTGTGGAACTGTCCGTCTGAAACCTGTTTCATTGTCATTAATTTGTAGGTCCCACTTCCTAAATTGAAGGAGAATCTCATTCTTCCCTCAAAAATTTCAAGAGCCAAGAACTCCGCCTTATCTCCGGTTTTGTTGTCATGGTTGTACATCAGAAGAGCATTGTCCTTAATGGTAGCAAACTTGATGTAAATGTAGTTATTGTTGGGATCCAGGCTAGGAAATTCCATATAGGATAACTCCCCGAAACCATAACTGTTCAGCTCACAGTGTTTTCCAAAGACACCTGTGTAGATAAAATATATGAAAATAGAATCAGTGGTCACACAGTATAGAAGATTTTGTATTTTAAAACTACAAAAAAGTGTTTGCCTTGTGTGTTCCTGTTCATACTGTAAATACTTTTTCTTTCCATAGCAAATACACTTTTAAGATGTTATTATTTGACTGCAGTACAAATTGTTCAAATCAAACAATATGTTCAAATACCTTACTTTACAAGGAAAATGTATGATTTTGTAATGCATAGGTGCAACATGTCCTCAAAGGCCATAATCCAGCAGGTTTTTTAGGTCACTCTAAGATGTCACCAGCTGAGGACCTTTGAAAAGTATTAGATTGGTCCAGTTCAGATAATGATCAATTAGGTCATTAAGAACACAGATGGAATGAAAACCAGCAGACACTCTGACACTCTAGGACTGGATTTTTGCATCACTGACATTCTGTACAAAAAAACCCCTAAGGGTTTACTACTTAAAGGGTTAATGAGTTAAATACTTAAACTGAAAATTGTCTCGGCACACACTCCCTTGATGTCTGATTCTATTAATTATTGTTGCTTTTGTGTTATATACACTACAGCATACCCTATCCAATATATTTTATCTACTACCTTTAAACACAGTAAAATGAGAAGCATCACATTAACTGCCCCTGCATCAAGTGTCTATAGTGATTAGACTTGAAATAAGGAATAGGAAGGCTAACACATAGGAGTAATGTTGATGTCAAAATAAAATGCAAATACATAATTATGTACAAAACATAATGGGAGAAGGAGTGAGAGCTATGTAATCTCTTAAATTGATTTGTCATTGCTTCTAGTGGAGAATCAATAGTGTCTCTCTTATTTTATTCAATTTTTAAGTAGAGCTCCAAATGATGTATGATTTGCCATATTGACCCACTTTTCATTGCTATGGCTAACAGATTTGTTTTTAACAGTATTTGTTTGTACTAATCATGTGACAAATATATCAATTTAAAATCTGTCAGATTACATTAGGTATCACTTACCAAAAGGACAATGACAATAATATCCATCCACACCATTCTGACATGAACCCCCATTAAAACAGGGATTGCATTCACAATAGTTGATGGAAGACTCACACGTTTTGCCTAGGTTAACAAAAAACACAAATTAAAATGAATGATATGGGATGAGATTCAAAAGCAAACCATTTTAAACAGACAGAGCCAGGGTGTCTAAATTAAAGGTAATATTTCAGGAACAAATATTTCTATTAATAAATAACACAATACATAAGATTTGTTCTGTCTGAAATGGTAGCTGGATGGTCCAGATGGGAATATAAAAACAAGTAAATATAAATAAATGTCCAATAATTGTCAGATAATGCACTGTGGTAAAGCATATAAGGATAATATAGACTCTATACAGTAGTTGAGCATACAGTATAATTCTAATCAGTACAAGAAGATGCATGGTTTATTTTCACAACATTCAGGCTCTGATTTCCACAATTTTAAACAAATAACTTAATGAAGGTACATTCCTTTCACATATCCAGGCAGGCTAAACAGAAAATGAAAGGTTCATAGGAAGGGCATAAAAACTTTTGTAAGACAAAAGGTGTATTTTTCAAGAAAAACACAGTTCTCACAATAAAACCAAATAGACTGACTATCACTCTAGTCATAATGATAAAAGACATATTGTAACAATACATGAGGTAATCCTTATTGTTCAATTCAGAAAAATATTAGTATGTCTTTTAATGTTTAACATTAAGATTATGCACTGTGATTATTATCTTACAAACCTAATCAATTTTCATATAATTGATTAATTCAGTCTGAACATCTGTTAGACAACCTTTAACCGTAATAAAGCATCCTTACTTTAGCAAGACTTGGCAATGTTGACTGCAACTGATTAGTCAATTTATTACTAACTTAGACTTGCTTAATGGAAATATTAAGAAACTTGAGATATTTAGAAATTTTAAATTCTGTTCCAGAATTGTTCCAGACTCCACAATAAATCCTCATTTCATTTTTTAAAGTCTCTTTCATTAAAAAAACATAGCTAGCAATGATGGATATGTCGATAGCTCTGGTCATCCTAAAAGCAAACATTTTGAGAGTTTCTACCACTAAACTGTAGGGTTTTTTTTTTCAAATGGATTTTGGTCCAAAGTGTACCACTATTTCTAGGAAAACATCTGTAACAGCAAGGATATCTGTAAGTTTCATTAAACAAAACAATACCTGTAAAACCAGATTTGCAGAGGCAGCTGAAAGCCCCAGGGAAATTCTGGCAAAGAGCACCATTCTTGCAAGGGTTTGATAGGCACTCGTTGACATCTCTCTCACAAGCCATTCCTGTGAATCCATCAGGACAGGTACAGGAAAACCCCCCAACCAGATTGTGGCAAGTCCCGCCATTGTGGCAGGGTAGCGGAAGGCACTCATCAATGTCAGTTTCACACAGGCTTCCGGCATATCCTGGCATGCAGTTGCAGACATACGGCTGGAGAGGTTCATTTGACACAAGGATGACGGGGATGCTCTCTTCAGCCTTCATTTGAGGACCCACACTAAGGTGTTTCTTGCAGCTTCCTCCATTCTGACAAGGATTCCTTGTGCAGGGATCATAGTCTACTGAGTCTATGCGCACCCCACTCTGCCTGTGAAGGATGTCCTTTGTACTCTCAAAAAATGTGGCTACTCCACTGGGATTGACATACTGATTGTGGTTACGCTTCACAGCAGCCATTAGGAAAGTCCTGTTGTTTTGTTCAAAAGCCCCATAGAGCTGTACAGCTGTTCCCAGGCCTGCTAGTTGGGAATTAGCTATGCGTAGAAAGTTAAGATAGTGATTGGTAAAAAAGTCTCTTATATTTGATATATCAAGCTGGATTAGGATACTGTTATCAATGGTTATGTTATTGAATCCCACAAAGAAAACACGAACATTGCTGTTGACAGCGCTATGTACCCCATCACTGCTGCGAACAGTAAACTCAAAAGTCCCGTCTGATGACCTTGAGTGGGAATTCAAATCACATGTCCCTGCTGTAATGCTGAAAAGGCTGGGAACTACTGAAGTGAGCGAGCACCGGAAAATGTCCTGCACATCTGGGTCTTGTGGTTTTACACTACCTAAAATTCCACCAGGAAACAGGTTACCAAAATAATGAACAAAGATCTCTACTGTTCGAGGCTCCGATGGGTTGTCATTCAGATCATTAACCTTGACATGGACCGTTCCCGTGGAAGACATTTGTGGGACGCCTGAGTCCCTTATCACCACTGACAAATAGAAATCACTAATCTGTTCCCTGTCAATCTCTCTGCTTGTGCTCAACACTCCAGCAGGACTAAGGTTAAAATAGCTTGCAGCGGATCCAGTGCTAAGTAAACTATATGTAAAAGGTCCTTGGTTTGGAGGTAGATCAGGATCGGTAGAACTAAGTTTCATAACAATGGTTCCTGCTTGCTGATTCTCTGTCACCTCTCCTCTTGTTGTAATCAGAGTGGGGCCATTGTCATTGATATCCTCTAATGTCACTATCAGGCTAGCACTTCCAGTAGCAGAGGGGGAACCAGAGTCAACCGCTAGTACTGTCAAATTGTAAACAGGTGTTGACTCCCTATCAAGCTCTGCTGCTACTGAAACCTGACCAGTCTGGGGATTTATTGTAAATCCATTTTTTTCATTATTAGAACCCATGAAATAGGAGAACCTGCTCCAGCTGGGTACAGAGTCTGAATCCTCTGCACTGACAAAGGTAACAAGACTTCCAGGTGGAATGCCCTCACTGATCTGTATGTTGTATGATCGTGAACTAAAGACAGGGGGGTCGTTAGCATCCAGAATAGTAATATTCACAAAGACTTCATCGATATCTGCCCCCCTTATGCTTCCAGCGTTTTTAGCAAGGACATTCAATGATATTTTTTCTTCTTTTTCTCGGTCAAGAGGCCCTGACACATATATTTGTCCAGTCTTTTCATTAATGCTGAAGCCCTTCTTTCTGCTTTTCCCAAATATTAAATAATGAACTTCTCCATCCACTCCAAGGTCTCGGTCACTTGCAAATACTTCCCCTACTATTGTTCCTCTGTGTGCAGCCTCCGAAACCTCAAAATAATACTGCTTTGAGACAAAGCGAGGAACATACTCATTAGCTCCCTTTAACTGGATATTTACATTTGCAAAACTGCACCGTTCCTCATCTGGAACATTGAAAGCCTTTACTGTTAAGTGATAAACCTGTTTTGCTTCATAGTCCAGGAAACCCTGGGTTGTAATAATGCCTTTGTTCGGATCAATCACAAATAAGTCACTATCAGAAGACTGGATAACGTAAGCAATAACAGAATTTGATCCAGAATCTTTGTCTGTTGCATTCATTCGCACAACAGTTGTGCCACTGGGGACATTTTCTTGTACAACCGGAAAATATTCATCTGGGCTGAAGATGGGCACATTGTCATTTACGTCAGTCACATGAATCGTAATAGTAATGTAGCCAGTCTTTGCAATCCAACCCCCATCTGCGGCACTAACTCTAAGTTCATGAGTTTGCTGCTCCTCAAAATCCAGAGGCTTAGCCAATGTTAAGGCACCTGATTTGCTGTTCATTTTGAAAAGGCCTCTTTCATTTCCAGAAGATATGTTGTATGAAATGATCCCATTCATTTCTCTGTCTTTATCTCTAGCTGAAACAGTTCTGATAACAGTTCCAACACTAAGACTCTCTAGTACTGTCACGCTAATGTGACCTTGTGAGAACTCTGGAGTATGGTGATTCTCCTCTGTTACAGCAACACGGAGTTTAGCTTGGGAGGACAAAGGTGGGTTTCCTTTGTCTCTTGCTGTCATTTCAACAAGGAAAACCTTATTTACATCAGAACTGAGTGAAGAAGCAACTGTGACCCATCCAGTTTGTCTGTCCAGCTGGAACTTATTAGAACTGTTGCCCCCTGATATTAAGTATTCAACTTCAGAGTTAAGCCCAAAGTCCTTCTTATCAGCAGCAACAACTCTCATAAGTTTTGTACCAATCTTAACACTCTTTGTAACAGGTGTAAAGTAATAAGCAGATTCAAATTGGGGAGGGTTGTCATTGCTGTCAACTATGTTTACAATTACTGTCGTTTCACTCATTAGAGGTGTGGCCCCTCTGTCTGATGCAGTTACAATGAAACTGTGCCGGTTGATGTTTGCTTTGCTGACCCCTGAAGAATTCTGATATTTCAATTGCTGCTTGATGAAAATTTCTCCAGTGCTGGAATTTATCCTAAAGAATTCAGACTGAGACCTGATGAAATAAAATATCTGACCATTAAATCCTTCATCTGGGTCTGTTGCTGAGACCTGAGTTACAAGTGAACCAATTTCTGTAACCTCAGGGTAATCTAGGTAATAGGATGGACGACTGAAACGAGGAGAATTGTCATTGACATCTGTCACAAATATAGTAACATCTGTGCTGACAGTCCATCCTGAATCATGGGCAGAGACTTTGACAATGTATCTTTCTGTGTCTTCTCTATTTAAAGGCCTACTTATGGTTATGTCCCCTGTGTTGGGATTTATAGAAAAGGGAAGACTTGCATCAGTGATAGAGTATCGACTTATGGCATTTGTTCCAGTATCCTCATCAGAGGTTGTGACATGAGTTACAGTGTACCCAATGGGGGCATTCTCAGGTACTGTGGCACTGAAGATCTGAGAAAATCTGGGTGCATTGTCATTCACATCCAAGACATTGATGAAAACTTTAACAACACTACTTTTTGGTGGAGAACCTTTGTCAGTTGCTTTAACTTTTAAAACATACTGTGCCTCCTTCTCCCTGTCCAGAGGTCTACTGCTTCTTATTTCTCCATTTGCTCGGTTAATCATGAAGTTATTTTCCTTGTTTCCATCAATGATGGCATACTCCACTTGTCCAATGGGTCCACTGTCTTGGTCTGTTGCTAAAACAACAAGCACTCTCTGTGGAGACAGATTCTCCAGTATTTCGGCCTTGAAGGGGTCTTGTTCAAAGACTGGATAGTTGTCATTGACATCTATTACATTTATTTCGATTTTTTCATATGATGAAAAGGGAGGAAAGCCTTGATCTCTCACTTCAATCCAAAGCACATATTTTGGTATATTTTCAAAATCCAAAGATTGCTTGATGGACAGCTCTCCTGTCTGCTGGTCAACATGAAAGACATTGTCAAGATTTCCACTGGCAATGTAGTATGACAAGGGTTCCCCTCTGGTAGAAGATCCAGATATTGTGGTAACTAAAGTATTAGAAGCTTGGTTTTCAGGAAATGTAAAAATGGTCTGTCCCGCCTTAATAACAGGGAAATCTTCCCCTGTCACAAATCTTACAGTCACAGTTGTTGTGTCTGTTTTAGGATTAATCCCACCATCCTTCACTCGGACTCCAAAAGTAACATCAGTGCCCCCTATTAGCCTCTCATTTGCTGTTATGGCTCCTCTCACTGGATCAATCTTAAATTTCCCAGAATCCCTGCCCATCAGTGAGTAATGAAGCTGGGCATTTGGTCCTGCATCCTCATCAGTCACAGTGACAGCAAAGACAAGTGAGCCTAGAAAAATAATAAAAAATACTAATACTGCATTCATCTTATTTAAAACACATTTAACATTCATGTATTTTTTTTAATTTCTCATGGTTTGGACTCAATCAAGACTGGTATCAATTAAGTATTTGTAAAATAAACTATCTATCTTACTCCTAAATAAAAAAACAGTTTCCAAAATAATATTTTGTTATCATGGGTTTATGATTATCAGGGTTTATGATTTGTGTTGCATCAGTATGGCCCTTATATAATTATCATTTTATGTATTTGTTTTCAAACACATGCATTGATACCAATGATTACTATACTATAGTATAGTCTAAACTATAATCTTTGAAGAAACAGTGCTCAGAATCGTAAAATTCATTGTAAAATGTACTTTTCATTTGGGATGCTATAGGTGAAGTTTCTAACTGCTTGGTTGTTTTTTACTTGCTAAAACAAAACATTATTTTTAAAATGTTTGTGGGAATGTGCACTCATCTGCAAGAAGTGAACCATGATGCATATTGGTTTAACTGACCCGTAGAGGTAGATGCAGGGACATGAGTCACATATGGGTGGTGATGGAATCTGGGAGGGTTGTCATTGATGTCAGCTATAACAACAGAGACAGTGGCAGAGCTTGACATGGGTAAGGGTTGTCCACCATCAGATGCTACAACCACCAGATGGTAATTCTTTTTGGTCTCCCTGTCCAGCAGGGCACTTGTGATGATCTGTCCAGTAGCTGGGTTTATGGAGAACTGTCCATCTCCTCCGGTCAAACTGTAGCTGTAATAACATGAAACAGAGACCATTTAACAAACATTTGTTATAAAGGTACAACCACTGATATAGGCCTTTGGAAACACAGCAATGCACAAATAATCCCATAGAGGACACTACTGGAAACCACTGTAAAAGTAAGTTTAAGTATTAAGATGAGTTTTAAAGACCATAAAAGAGGTGAAGGAATCAATGAAAACAGGACTAACTTTTCATTTTATCATTCTATTCCATTTGGCTTGTTCTCTGACAATATGAACATTCAGCACTCTGCTTTTAAGAATTGCTCTTTGAATATAAACCAAATTACTTCATGTCACAGAAGTCATTCCTAAGTATTCCTCAAGAAGTGAGTACTGTTTTTAAATACAACCCAGCTGTTTCCTTTCAAGATGTAGATATTTCAAATTCTTTTCATACTAAGCTAACAGAATTAATAAAAACATAAATACAATTTGGTAAACAACATAAGAATTAAAGGCTTTGTGTTTCCTACTGTGATAGCATCTGATTAACCATCTGTTTTTTTAAAGCAAAATACAAAATATTTTAAATGAATTTCTTAATGGCTTATGAGACCAATGAAACTAATAAAACTAACTGTGAGTGGTTCCGTATTCTATTAAAAACAAGTCAACGTTTAATAGGCAGTTCTTGTTCTGTCATCGCCACTTAACATCCTCATTATTTTATTTGCTAAATTAGAAATTGCTCTATCTGACAGCCAGTGATGTCCCAATGGGAAGATGCAATGAAAGGAAAGTGAGGTCAAATCTGAGCCACAGTTCCCTAATGTAGAAGTAACACAAAACAGGTAAAAACTTACCTGATCACAGCATTGATGCCTGCATCCAAATCAGAAGAATTAACAAGCAGGACATCAGTTCCTGTTGGTGCATCTTCTGGCACAGTGGTGTGGAATGTGAGGGAAGCAAAAACTGGAATGTTGTCATTGATGTCGTCTACTTGAATAGTCACAGTGCCAGTACCAGTGAGAGCTGGAGATCCTAAAGAAAGAGACAAAAATGAGCCCATGTTCCACAGATAACAGACTAATTCAACTAGGTCAGTATGCTCTTGTCTTTCTATTTCATGTGTCAAAAAATGAAACATTGGTGCTTTGACAATGCTCACTTAGGGGCAGATTTTGGAAATGGAACTTTATTTTGTACTCAACACTGAAAAAAGGGAGAATAAACAAAAAGAAAAAAAAAACAAAATCTTAGAAAAAATAAATGGGGTGGTTTTAAATTGATAGCAGATGAGTATTATATAATGACAAAATGTAAACAACTGGATTATTACATTACTGTGAAATGCTAAAAGATATTTGTTGTCTGCATTAAATCAGACACCAATAACATCAGACACTCAAATCTATGTTCTGTAGAGGACTAAGAGAAAACACTAATCTGGCAAGAAGTGTTTCGCATTCTTCTTTAAGCCAAGCATGATCCTCAAGAAAAACGCAAGGCAGAGTTTACCCATGGGACCCTTGCAATGCATCACTTTTCTCTAAAAGTATACTGGCTGCTTTAGCATGCAGTAATTAACACCATGTGGTTTTTGTTTCCAAGGCCCTTGCTTTTATTTATTTTTTTAACCACAAAATTAACCCATTGCAACTAAACCCATTCTTGCAAAATGTGTCCTGGGAGTACATACTTTAATGACCATCTATGAGAAAGCCAAAAAAAAATCAAGGCCAAATTTTTAGACTGTGTCAGTCATTTTGCTTAGATGCACTCACAGAAAATACTTGAGAAAAGCAAATCTTTGTTCTATATTATAGCTACAAAAAAGTCTTAATGTAACTTTTCAAAATCAAGTAAATGTCCCATTTTGTTCTTCCTCAAAATTAATCTGAGTCCACCAAGCACTTTAAGGATATTTTGAATCCCTGAAAAAAAGCAGGAAAGTTAAATCTTATGGCATTTAACTTTTAATTGATGTTCTGTAGTGATTAATTTCTTAAAGATGTGGGGTATTACTTTTAGCAGCATTTCTTGTACATTAATATTGTAGAACCCTAACAACCAGCTACTTGCAGTTCTGTATTTCTGCACTTATATGTCAATATATAAAGGTCCAAGAAGAAATGTTTAGAAATACTTAAAATGTTCAACTTTTTTTCCATTCAGCATTAATGCTATTTAAGGATTTGAAAACTAATATAAGCTATATTCATTTTTTCTCTTCTATTTTACAGTTTGTTTTCAGTTTTTCAGCACTTTTCAGCGCCATTTGATGAAATGCAGGTGTGACCTCCTCCATTGTCCTTGAGCTTTTTCTTAATTGGCAACTTAAAGATTTTACCCTATTGAGAAGCAAATGTTTCTTGTTGGATTAATTCAATGTCCTTGCACTTTCTGAGATCCTACAGTATGTTCAATTTCAGCTGAACAAATAAGAATAAAATGAGATTTTCCTTATGCACACAGTGAATACTGTATACTTTCCAAAACTTGTCATATTTTCCAGATAAACTTTTACTTTTATTACCTTTTTACTTTTGCACTTTGTTTAATGCATATCTAGCAAAAAATATTTTTAGTTAGGACCAAAAGTGCCATTGACACAGGTTCTAAACTGATTAAAAACAGAGCAACAAATGTGTACTGCAGGCAGAGAATTGGAACATGAGCATACATTTATCACACTTGAGTTTAGGACTGTGGAATCAGATTTTATGAATGGGAAATAAAGCAACTGTTAATACTGTTAATAATTAGAGAGCACTGTAGATGTAAAAGGCTATAATAGGGTTTTTCCATTAGGGTTAGGGTTCAGGGTATAATTCAGGCTTACTCGTGGCACAGATTAGGGCTGTAGTGTTAACATGCTATTTATTGAAGCAGTCTTTAGTGTTAATGTATTTATGTTATTCTATTAATATTTTATTAACATTTTCAAATTATAAAATTGAATAATTTCTTGAAATTGAAATAATTTATAAACCAACATAAGAAACCACTAATTTATTAAGTCCATAAATACCTAAAAGCATTATCCATAAATGTAATACCTGCTCACCAAATAAATCTTATACTGATAGGTTCAGAAACAGAATTTGTTAAAAGCTTTTTTTTAAAAAAAAAATGAGCAGAAACGAACACTGCTTGAAACACATACTTACACCACTATCAAGTGTTCATGTTCAGCTGGCACAGCAGTAAGTTTAGAGAAACACTCTCTCTACCCAAGATCTTATCTTGTTATTGTGACGCCTGAACAGACTGGATCCCTAGGATATTTTACTGTGGTAAGCAGACTAGGTACTCTAGGGTTTTATGTGAACTGTGTCACTTTTGTTTCTTTTAGGATTAGGTTGTTTCTGAATGCAGAAGGACAAAGCTGTGTAACATCTACAGGCATTTCTATAGCTGCAACAAGAAGACTGGGTCCTTTGGATAAGGCGTACAGCACGTCCACACTGAGATTTGGATTCTGCCTAGAACTCAGTCTGGTGGCCTTATTATAAGGTTCACCATTTGTACCACTTCAACGTGACAAATAATCCCATTAATTTTGTAGTCATCTTCTTTAAATGTATAAACGGGTTACGATAAGCAAAGGATGAGTCATGATAACAAGAATTTTCCATGTGATACCTTTGAGTTGTAAGAACACATTATGTAAATACAGCTTCAAAGCTGGTAGTGTGCTGATTAGAAACTCTGGTGAGCTATTTGTTTTTATACTTAAGGCATAGCATTCAGTAGAGTACAGTGACAATAAAAAACAAAATATTTAAGTACAGAAGTCAGATTAGAAGAGTACACAAGTTTTAAACACTGTGTGAAACACTACTCCTGTTGCACACTTCTGTACTCATGTGGTACTGTACTTTTTTATCCTGATGAACAGAAGGACAAGTAAAATTGAATTCTGTACTGAAAAGAAGAAACAAGAAAGACAATGTTTCGTTTTTAGTTCATTTACTCCTTTTACTTTTCAGCGTGGAATTAACCATTACTTGTTCCTTTGTAGCCAACACACACTGATACAACTCCCCATCAAAACTTTTAATAAACAGAATACTGTAAACTCTCTCATACAACAAGAATGCAACATTATACACCACAATGTAGAGGCCACTCTTCATTGCATTCAGTGCATCTGCTACTAGAATAAGTAGTAATTTCCCTTCATTATGTATGATGTGTAGATGTACTGTACAGTAATTTGGATTGCACTTAACTGTACACAGTCACATAATTAAAATTGAATCTGCTGATTGTTTAATACTGCTCAAATAACGTCTTAGACTCTAAAGACTTAAGTAGTTTATATCCAGAAAAGAGACAACAATGCCATCACCACCCCCACCAAGGAACCCCAGCAGCAACTCTCCCTGAGGTTGTTAAAGTTCAGTCCCATGTCAATATTACATCTAATCCCTCATCTCTCTGGGAATTTGTATTTGGTCTTAGTCGACCTGAACTTGGATTAAACCAATAGTGGTAAAGTGAAGTGTTTAAATGGGGATCAATTTTTAAATAGCTCTGAGTTTCCATTTCTGAATCTTGTGGTAAAACTGAATACATTTTGACTTAACGTTGTCCATACCAGTAACAACTCAGTTCAAAAAGTTGTGTTTCAAAAGCTATACTGTGAAACACAATTGTTTCCTATTCAAGCACGTAATATTCTATATTGTCGAAAGCATTGAGAAACCCTTACGTTTGATGACTTTATTCATTATTTGTTACTACTCCAATCAATGCTGAGCTTCCTGCACAGGGAAGCATAACTTGTGATAATTCAAAAGATGAGTGTTTCGGAGATGGGTATGTCAGAGGCTGCTGCAGGATTTTTGAGCCATGAGCCAAAATGTGAAAAGCATCCAATTATCAACTGCAGATCTGGTGGGTATCAAAATTAATTTACTATTTTTGATTTAAATAAAAAATAAAGCATCCCTGCACATGCATCAATCTGATATGGAAAACAAATACAGAGTGAAATTATGCCTAATTGATCTGGAAAAAAAATCTCAACAGATGTTTTGATTCTACTTTTTGATGGAAAATAATTCATTGTATTTTAAATTTCAATTGAAGACCATAAACTGGACAGAGTTTACACACTGCTAGGTAATGACCAGTTCTATAACATATTTTAATGTATGTGTTCTATTGGAACCATGTGAGAATATCACAAATAAAATACTGAATTAGGATATGTGAAATTCACACAGTTTCAATAAAGCTGATATGTGGGTATAGGGAAATATCGCTAGAAAATCTAAGCATTGGCTGCACACACTGTACTAGTTAAGGGATAAATGACAGATGACATCATTTATCCATGGAAAGTAAAATTGTGGAAATTTGCACTGTTAGTCTGTTCTGAGACTGACTGCCATGTATTGTGGTGAGAAATATTGTTTCCATAGGCAGGCTGAGTTCCCAGAATGGCTTTTTTTTTGCTGTACCAGCAGTTCTATGCATTTTGTGCTATTTATGAGTTACCAAAAAACCACAAGAACGTTTTCCACGTCTCCCCAATGGGTCTCAGTAGTAGTGCTTCAGACCCTAAAAAAGCTAGCAGGAGAAAATGAAGATCATGTCCCCCATGGTGTGAAATCAGGAGCAAAAGAAACAAGTTAGATTAAGGTCTGCAATATGTAATTTTACTTAAAATTCCATTGAAATGACTAAGGTGAATTACAGCGTGTGCATCTGGTACTGTGGCTTGTGGTAGTTTTCATGGCAAAATTACTGTGTTGTTTTCAGTTACACTGGGGAAGACATTAGTTTGAAAGGTTTCTGAGCATTGCTTCAGAAGGAAAAAATTAATATAAAATATTCAGTGATGTTTTAATGTGGCATGCTGCAATTGAAATATCAAAAACCATAAGTTGAAACTATGAGGGACTGGCGTCATTTTTATCTCCCTATACAGATAAAGCTCTGAGCAGCACTCTTTAATTTACATAATCTCTCTGCTAGGTTACTCAAGGAGATTTATAGAACTACGATATAATGACCTGGTTTGCTCTAGA